TTTTTTTTAATCCATCAAGCACAAAAATTATTAAAACATTATTAATAAATAAATAAAAGTGAAATTTTATTAAGAATGTTTTGATAACTTCAATGCACACGAGAAATTTTTTTTCGCAGTTCGTATTAAAATATATTTCTATTTTTTTTATCTCTTTCATATTTTTTTTTCTAACACATTGTTTTTTCCTTTTGATCTTGTTTCTTATTCACCTCTTTATTTGTTCTTTTTATCTTGCATTAAACTTAAAAAAAGAATTTCAAATAAAAAATCAAAGAAAATGTGGTAAATTGTAGGAAGCCAGTAAATGTTCACCTTTTTAAATTTATTGGTAAATTATTTTTTTATATATTCTTGCACTATTTTGAAACTTGGTTCGGTCTAGTTGGTTTAACTGGTTGAATTGGATTCGGTTTTAAAAACGGATCGGATGATGATATTTACCTGTTTGAACTTTGAAATCAAACTCAATCAAAATTCGTTCAGACTCAATCAAATCTACTTAGACTTGGTCAAACCCAATCAACTTAGTTGAACTGATCGGTTCAATTTTTTTTTTTTTATATATTTTCACTTTTTTTTTCATTTTTCTTTAATTTTTATATTTCTATTTATTTAACTAATAGATAATATAATAATTAAATTGTAAAATCTATTTAAAATCAAATCACAATTAATGAATGAAAAATTTTAAATTAATTTAAATGTAGTTTGAAATTAAATTACTATTTCAAATTGGAGAGTGATTTTAGTTTAAAATCAAATCAATTCAACTTTAAAAATAAAATAAATAACTGCTTTATTTAATTAAATTGATGAAATCAAATTAAAATTAAAACTAATCTTAAGTAATTTTAGAAATAAAATCAATGACTATTTTAGATAATAAAATGAATGAAATCTTTTTACAATTAAAATTAAAAAAAATTAAATTAAATTAAAATTAAAATTAATCCTAAGCGATTTAAAAAAAAATCAATATAAGGAAAAAATAATTTTATAATTAATATGATATCAATGCTTTTGATGCCTATTAAAGAAAAATATGTTATGTATTTTAATAAATTTAATAAATAAAATTAGTTTAAAATTAATAAATTTTGAAAATAAAGTCTTAAAAATTAATAATTAGTTTGTTATATAAAAATGATTTCAATCAATATTAAAGAAAAATATATTATGTATTTTAATAAATTTAATAAATGAAATTAGTTTAAAATTAATAAATTTTGAAAATAAAATCTTTAAAATTAATAATTAGTTTGATATATAAAAATGATTTCAATCAATGTTAAAAATAAAATCAATTAAAGTAAAAATAATTTATAATTAATAAAGTGAATTAAATGATATTTATTAGGTTGACTGGTTAAGCAAGCCAATCAAACCAATTCAACCAATTGAACCAAACCCGTTGACCAAAACTGATCAATCATCGACCTGGGCTTTAAAACTGATAGGAAAAACAATTTTATGGATGGTCCTACTTTTCAAGGACTAGATCTTAAATGTAGGTAAAATCATTTATGTATGG